TTAGTCATATTCCCTGTTTGCATCTTTTGCTTTGATTCTAGGACACACTTCTACCACACCACCCCTCCATCTTTTCCCCACCATTGTCTCGCTTATTTTAATTTTCTCTTTCCTTTACAATCCTGGCTTCAGAGTAAATTTCATAACCTACTGAGCCTGCCTTGGTAAATCCAGATCCCATTCTTTCATTGACTGATTGCTTTATATATACATTTTTCATAACTAGTCCTACTACCTTATTGGGTCTCTTCCTTAAAGAGAACAAATGAAATCTATGTCTAAGTAAGCCCAGAGATTCCCAAACCTTTTCTGAGTAATGTTTTACTAACAGTTTGTGATCATTTCATGGCCTACCAAGGCGTACTTTTCAGAATAATTCAATAATTGGTCTTTTCTCAATTCTTGGTTTTAAAAAAGAAAAAAGAAGAAGAAAGTAAAGCTAGCTTTTCCTCCCATTTATTTTTCTTATACCTGTTCATTGCTGCTCATCTTAGTAAACCAATGTAAAGGAACACATACATTAATCTGGAAATGTGTTGTTTTTTAAATATTCTACATGTTACTATTTCAAAAATCAAAAACCTAAAAATATATTATCGTATGCCAGTAATATTTTCCCTGATTCCACCCCTTTCAAAGTGCATGATATGAACAAGTTACTATGTAACTCTGAGCACCACTTGGCTCTAAAAGACAAAAAATAATACCCAGTGCTCAAGGTTAAAGTATGAGAGATAATTTTTTGGATGAATAAATAAATATAAAGCATATAGCTTAGCTTGATCTTCAGAAGGCACTCAATCAACAATTGCACTTAACACTGTGTATCAACACTTCAGAGCATTTTTCAAAATGCATCCCATCTACCAGGTCCTATCACAAGAACACATTTAATACCACATCCAGAGGTGCCATCACAGTAACTACGGCATTAATCTACCATGCACTCACACTTAACCATGGTTTTGTTTTGTTAATTGCCATCATATGGGTATGGGTTATCTCTCCAACTAGATTAGGAACCTACTGAGGCCAAGGATTAATGCTCAATGTCTTTGTTGCACCAACACATACATTCATTCAACCCTGTTGTAACTTGATTTTTATTAAACAGTTCACAACAGTAATTTGCACAAAATAGGTGTTCAATAAATATCTATTAGCAGAACATAAAACACTGATTTACACTATATATGGGAGAAATAATAATACAGAAGGCATTTTACTGTTACACACAATATGCAAGTCATTCTTATAATCACCATCCAGCTAATTAATTCCAAGTCTACTCAGAAAGAAACTACAGCTTATGGGAAAAGTTCCCTCATCCAAGATCACCCAACTTAACTTTATTCAAGTTCCTCTCAAAGATCCTTGTGCATTCCTCCAAACTATCTTGTCTCCCAAGTGGGAATTTTCTAAAGGTCTTTCCCAATTTTACTTCATAAATCAAGCTTAGTTATATATCAAGGATACCCTTTTCTGGTCCTTCTTTTCATCTACCCACTGCATAGCTGCCACAGTCAATACAAATCCACTCATAATTTCCCATTATTCACTTACATCCACAACCATCAATGAAATAATTTAATACAGTAAAGAGATAACCTGAGAATATTCCTATGAGATGATGAAGACTTTTACAAAAATATATCTCCCATGGATCTCCTGAAGCTTAAGATGTCACGTATAAATGTACACACACATGCACATATGAATAGTTCTCTCTAAATACAGTATCTTTACCTAAATTATATGCCTCCCATATCCTTGTGAGGAACAAATCCCTCAATAGTGGCAAGCAGTAAGAGTGGAAGATAGAGTCGATCTTCACCAGAAAGTCACATTGTGAACACACTGGTCAGAGAGAATCACCTCAATCCATCTTGCTAGACTCTTCCTAGGCACACAATGCAGGCACTCCTTGACAGTGGGTGAAGGGCTTCTTACTCATTTCTGAAGGTGAAGCATTAAAAAAGGAATGTATCACATTGTGCTATGTGTATTGGACCATATGCCATGGTCCTGCATCGGTTAGCCCAGAAATTCATGTTTCCTGGCTCAACAGCTCCGAAGCGTGCTGGAGCCCTCATCCTTTTCAGCTGGTACCATGTGCAATTGTTATACTATTATCAGAAGAGCTCAGAGTTGTGTCTACTCGCAGGGTAAGGATCTCTGGAACCCCTCAAGGGCAAGAATCTAGTCTTTTAAATGGTCAACACTGTAAGAGTTCAGAAAAAACTGGTTAAGTAACTAGTAGAAACCAGTTAAGTAACTAGCAGTTAAGTAACAAGTTAACTAGATAACTTGAGGGATCACTCAAGTTATCCATCCTTGGGACACGAAAGGTATATCCCACACATCACAAAAAGTTCTCTCATAAATTCCCCATCCTAACTGTACTACTATAAACAGCACCGGTTGAAATATGGAATTCTTAAAAATAAACTACCAGGGCTAGGCGCAGTGGCTCATGCCTGTAATCCCAGCACTTTGGGAGGCTGAGGCAGGCAGATCACGAGGTCAGGAGTTTGAGACCAGCCTGACAAACATAGTGAAACCCTGTCTCTACTAAAAAAAAAAATACAAAAATTAGCAGCGCATGGTGGCGCGGCCTGTAATCCCAGCTACTCGGGAGGCTGAGGCATGAGAATTGCTTGAACACAGGAGGCAGAGGTTGCAGTGAGTCGAGATCGTGCCACCGTACTCCAGAATAGGTGACAGAGTAAGACTCCGTCTCAAAAAATAAAATAAAATAAAAATAAAAAATAAACTACCAACCCAGTAGAAATTCTCTAAGAACTAACTCTCCATTACTTAGGGACATATATTTCTTTTTCCCTCCCCTATTGGGTTTTTGGATTCTTAGAACATTGGTTGGATAATCTGCAAAAGAATAGAGATGAAATAAAAATAACACTTGTCAGTTTATTTTGTCAGGTTCATTAGCAGCAAATAAAAAATAATGACAGACAATACTTGTAATTTTGGAATCTAGATTTTATATAGTTGGCTATGATTAGATTACAGCCAAAGAGGTCTAGAAAACAAGGAGGAAGAGCCCTACTTGGACCTTTCCAAATTCAGTCATTCAGAGGATTCCTTGTTCTGGCCCCTATAGTTAGTTTAAATCATTACTACTCCAGTTACCTATTTTCTCATCCTCATCTCCCAGCAGACTCCTCCAACTAAAATATTAATTACAGAACATTAATTCCCCTCACACCAACCCTTCTACTTTCATCACCCTACCATTTTCACAGTTGGGCATTATTTTGAAGTCTTTCTTTCATTTACCCCTTCTACTTATTAAATGACTAGTTTGGGATAAATAAATTTCAGGCTTTGTATTCAGCACCATGTTAGAGCACGGTCTCTTCCCTCAAAGAGCCAACAGTATAAAAGGTAAGCTACTTTTTTCTCAAGACAAGAAATACTCGTAGAAATATTCCAAGAAGTCTATATAACACACACATCAGGAACCAATCTCAAAATTTTAGCCAAGAGTTAAATCACTCTATTCTGACCTAGACAATCTAGCTCCAGCCTTTCACAAAGCCTAAGGTAACAAGATATAACCACTCTACATCTGAATAGCGCTTTATGGTTCTCAAAATCTGATTTTATTTGATTATTTTAACAAAGGATGCAAGGCAAGTACTGTTGTTCTCACTCTGCAGATGAGGAAATGGCGGCTGAAGGAGGCAAAGTGACATAAACAAGGTGATATATCTAATTATTACATGTAGTCCTCTGATTCCCATTTTCTAGCATTCACAGACACAGTGACTCCCCAAAGAAAAATAAGCAGTGTTTTCAACTCAGCACATTTAAGCATGAAACTCACCATCTTAGGAAACAGATTTTACTCTGCTTGAACCCTACCTGTCTGCATGACTTTCTTACAGTTGTTCTTGCCCCACTGTCTCTGCTGCATCAGCTACATGGACCACATCTTCTTATTGTGCTAGTTACGCAATTCAAAATGATCCACAAGCAGCAAATGACAATAAATTCATGTTAATCATTTTTATGTCAGTGTTAATACTCATTCTGACTTCTAGATTACACCTGGCCCAATGAAGGTTGTTAGTTCTGTTCTAAAAAGGTAGGCTAATTTTGGTCTTCTTTTGTTTTTGCCAAACAACAATTAGCAACCCCGTTATTACTCAAGACAGAGAAGGCAGGAAAACAGGCATAAAAGGAGAGGGGAAGATTAAAGGAAGAATGAAAAAAAAAAAACAACAAAAAAAGGCATAAACAGTAAAAAGCACTGGAGTAGCACAAATGTACTGAAATGTTCTACCACAGAGACGGCTACCCCCTCTACCTGGGAATGACCTTTGCCCTGAAAGTAGGTCCTGGGGTACTGGAGAGAAGCCAAGACCCTCCAAAATTGCCAAAGAGACCTTAGTGGACAACAGCTGTACTCCCTGTGGACATATGTTCAAAAGTTGGCAAGTCTAAGCTAACACACTTAAACTCACTTATAATCCTGCAACATGGCTGGCACAAGTTAGTCCATTTTGGATTTAAGCCACAGAAGGTATGTGACTTAAATACCCCAAAGCACTCAATGTACATTTCATCCACAGAATTCTACCACTGAACCCCCCCCCAAGACATTTAGACTTCCAGAATCTTCCATATTACTGTATAACACTGTAACACTTATATTAATTTACAATCGTCATGTTCCAGTTTTTCTACTTTTTCAATTCCAAAGAATAAAACAATTTACCTTCAGTAGAAAACAGGTGCTAAAATGCAAATTAAGAATCTAGTAAGTAAGCCAATACAAAGATTATCCAGGACAATCTCATACTTTCTGATGTTTCATTCAAACTACAATCACACTTAGTGTCAATACATTCATGCATTCAAAGCAGCCCCGCAAAATGACGTTTTCCTGCCAACCCAGTCTCATACTCTCCTTCCTCATCTCCACGGGTAACGTTTGCAAGTATGGCAAGCAATTTGTTTTAACAAGTGGGTCTTACCTTTCAGCAGTGATGAAACACAGAACTATCTGGCCGGTCTTTACAATCGCTGTCCACTCTCAAGATTTCTCCTAAGAGTTGTAGCATTGATTTAAAGAGAGAGAAGGTAAAATTAAAACAGTCATCAAAAAAAGCCTTCAAATCCACAATCCCCAATTAAGAAGCTGACATCCTGAATCACTTAGGCATAATTTTACACCATGCCACTCGATACATTAAAAAAAAAAAAAAAAATAGCTGGTTCCAGATGAGTTGAAATGGATTTTAATCATTTGTATCATTCCCATGTCCTATATTCACCCAATAACGTCTTTCCTATTGCATATGACAGGCAGGTGAAAGTCACAAGGATCATTTGAGTCAACTTTAATTTCACTCACTGCTTTTACCTTTAAAATTAAAGATACTTTACAGGATACACACTGGCAAAAGAATAGGTATTATATAAACAGTTTTTGCCCATATATCTAAGGGTTTTAAATCACAAATTATACAAAGTATTCAGAAATAATTTCGTACCCAGTGAAACAAAATTACAGTCTTAGAAACAAACGGGACTACTTATTCGGACTATACATAACTCTACATCTAAGAAACTACATAAAATTGACTTAATTTATATATATCAGAGAGTAAAATGAACAGCTTATATAAAAGACAAATCTCAACTAAAGGTCTTTTCCATTTCTCCAAAGTTTTAAATACATTTCACTTTGCAGCTTTATTAACATTAAAAATGAAGTCATCAGCTGAGACCTATAATTAAGAGGTGATCAGAGGTACAGACACCGATAAATGCAAAAGCAAACAATTGTTTCCAATTCAGGGAGCGATCAATCTCAAATCCCAGAATAAAAACAGTGTTTTTCCCATATAACTCATGTCAGATGGAATTTACAGGGTCTGAGTCCTCAGAATTCATTGCTCCGATTTACTAAACTTTCAATTTCTGATCAGCATCCTTTCACACAACATCTGGCTGCTCGCTCAGGTCCTCTAATTACTTCCACGTCTGAACGGACTACGTAGTTACAAGTAAAGGCCAAACTTTGCTCTCGGCCTTACGAACTTAAAGACGCGTTTAACCACTAGAGGTCTCCCCTTGGCCAGTTTTGCACGTTCGCTATTTTGCTGCACTTGAAACTTTCCGGAGAAATGCTCTCTACTCGAGTCAGTGTTTTTCTAAAAACTTGCGCAAAAATCCACGCGACCGAGATAGCCAGCACAGAGACGCCCGGACTCCCCAAACCAATAAAGACATCACAAACAACGCTCTAGGAAAACCAAAAGGAGAACTGGACGCACTCGCCCCGGCCGCGCCCCCCCACCCCAAATTCTTATTTCTCATCTCAGTTTCCCCTAACCTAACGATTAAAAATCTATTTTTGTTTCTGCGCACTCTGAAAGATCTCGAATGCATTTTTCTGGCGGTGGCCCTGAGGTGGAGAAGAATCGGGCCAAGGGATGCGGGGCACGGGTTGGGGGGTGGCGAGGGGGAGGGCCGTGCTCACAGAGCCCAAGGAAGTTGCATAAGGAAAAGGACTCCGTTTTTCGGGTCCCCTCAAAAAAATCGGCTGGGAGGGGGAGGAAAAGGAAGCGGGGTGGTGGCAGCCGGGGGACTGAGAAGGGAAACCGAAGCAACGTTTACCTCCGTCTCCCTGTGGAAGGGTGGGGTAGATTCGCAGTCCCCGCGCCCCGGAGAGCGCCTGGTCACCCCCACCTCTCTCAGAGCGCAGACGGACAGACCGACACCCCCAGCCCTCCGCGGGGACCCGGGAGGAACCCGTCCGCTTTTAAACTTTCTCTCACGGTCGCGCTGCGGGCCGTGCTTTGACCGGGACGGGGGGGAGGGAGAAATCGCAGGGCCTTTTTTTACTTGAAAGGTAATTAAAGTTTTACCACCAGTCCAAAAGTTGCGCCCTCCCCCCGTCCGTGCCACCGTGCCCTCCTCCCCTTCAAGGGCTCTCAAGTTTTCCTCCCTGCCCGCCGCCCCCTACACTCCACCGGCTCGCGGGGCGCGCGGCGGATGCCTCCGCTCCGGCGCTTCCCGATCCCCACCCCCGCCGGCCTCTACTTCCCCCCGCCCCGCCGCCGCGGCGCGAGGACGGCCCGCGGGGCCCAGGACGCGAGTGTGCAAAGCCCATTATTCCGGAACGGCACACGCACGCGGCGCGAGGCGGGCGGCGGCCCCGGCCCCGGCCCCGGCCCCGGCCCCGGCCCCGACCCCGCTTTTCCTCCCCAGGATAAGGCAGGCGTAAACAAGTTGCAGAAAAGCAGCCCCGCGCCGCCCCCACTCCCCCCCCACCCCGGTCCGCCGCCCCGGCGCGGCCACCGCCGCCGCGACCGCCGCCTCCCGACACACACGCCCGCGCCCGCGCCCGCACCCGGGCCGGCGCGGCGCGGCACAGCGCGGGGCGAACGCCGCGACGGCGCGGGCTCCCGGCCCGGCCCGCGGCCCGCGCCCTCTCCCGCGCTGACGGCCGCCGCGGGCCCGCGCCGCCTCGCTTCCCGAAGCACTTTCCTGCCTCGGGCAGAAATAAACCGGAGGGTTTATTTTTGTGCAACTTTCCCAAAATGGCGGAAATTGGAGCTGATCTATATGAAATTCTCACACACTCGGTCGGGAAGGGGGAGGCGGCGAGGAAGCCACGCAAACTCTCGGCCGCCGAGCCCCGCCGCGGGTCCGTGTGTGTGCGTGCGTGTGAGTGTGCGTGTGCGCGGTGGGAGTCGGGCAGGCCTTTCCGCCGCGCACACACAGCACACGCCGGGGAGACGCGCCTGCACATTCAACCAGTCCATTCTCCGCAGCCCGAGAGGGGAGAAAGTGGCCCGGCCTCTTTTCCCACTGCCTCGGTCTCCCGTACTTGTACTTCTCGCGCTCGCCCGCCCGCTCGCTCGCTCTCCGGTGCGCGCCCGGCACAAAGGCCACACGGGCGGAGGGGGCCGCAGGGGCGGCGCGCGGGGCTCGCGCCTCCCGCCGCACCGATCCGCGGCCCCGGCCGCCCCCGCGCCCCCCGCCGGCGCCCCCCGCCTCGGCGGCCGCGCTCGCCGCCCGGGCTGCGGCTCCGCGGCGCCCACCCGGACACGCACCCCGGCGGAGCCCGGCGTCGCCGCCGCGCTCCCCCACCCCGCGCCCGGTGTCACGAAAGCGACCAAAGTGACAAGCTCGGGGGGCGCGGGGGAGGGGGCCACACGCATCCCGCCGCCTGCGCGCCAGCCCGAGCCCGACGCGGCCGCCTCGCCCCGGCTCCCTTCCGCACGGCCCCCCACACCCTTCCCCGTGTGCGCGCAAAGAAAAAAATACAAGTCTCTCCTCCCCCCATTTTTTCCTTTCTCTTTTCTCTCTCTTTTGTTCCTCTTTCATACTCGCACTCACTACTTCAGAGTGAGATGCCCAGAGACTCCCCCTCCAGCCGTTTCCGAGTCACTTGCCCACTTTTTTCCCGGGGATTAAGTTTTCTCCTGTTTCCCAGAGGCGCAGAGAAGTGGGGGAGAAACCCCTTCTGTCCCTCCCCTCCCCTGATCTGTTTCACAAGACGAGGGTGCGCTTCCTTCCCTCTGTAGGGCTCTTAACTTTCATCCTCACCCAGAAAAATAAATGAATGGCTTTTGCACGGACAAATCTTCAGATTAATTAGAGATTAGATCCGATCAAACGCTTCTTACCCCCAAATTTTCTCTTTTTTTTTTCTCCGTCTCACGAGTAGTCCTGACAAATGGTCCAGGGCTGCGGGCGCAGTGCGCATGTGCGCGTAGAGTCAGGGCTGGGGAGAGGGGAAACTGCGCTGGTGCCGGTGCCGCCGCCGCCGCCGCCGCCGCCGCTGCTGCCGGGGAGGCTCGCTCTGGCTTCCCTGTTACTGCTGCTGCGCCTTCGCCGCTGGAAAGCAGCAATAAAGCCGGGTGGCAAATGCAGCTGCCCGCAGATCCTGTTTCAGGTGCATCTTTTCAACAGCCCCGTCACCGCCTCAGAGCTGGTTCAAGAACAGTCCAAACAAATAGAAAACACTGCTAAGGTTCCAGATTTCTTTGTCTATTTTTCACTTTACTTTTTTTTAAAGGCAATTCTCCGAGCAGCGACTCCACCATGTGCTGTGAAATGTATGCATTCAGCCATTAAGGAGTGGGCCTTGGTCTTGCACAAACACTACCCAAAGGCTAAATACATGCTACAGGTCATGAAAAGTAACAAAGTTGTAAGCTTTGGGAGATTACCATCTTCCCCTCTTCGATGGCTGGAAGAATGCGTAATAAAGAAGGTGGGCAAATAAAACTTGCGCCTTCTTTCCGCTTCCTAAGTGCGGATCTTTATTGACAGCTCAAACATGTTAGGCCTCTTCGCTGTTGAGTGATAGGCTGAGATTCCTACAGAAACTTAGAAATCACTGTGAAAGTCCCTTGGCAATAACCAGGTCCAGGACTACCCTCTTAACGTATTCACTTAAGATGGCTGAGCCGTCCTAAATGGCAAAACCTGTCTTTGTTAAAGCGTCAAAACTAGATCAAGAGAGGATTCTATTTCAGTATTGACAGCTTTCCACGCATTTACTGCAGGCCCCTTTTGGACAGCTTCAGGGTCTTCTTTTCTACTGAATAGGAGTACTTAAAAAATAATTCGAGTAATTAAAGTTGTGATAAACATTTTGATGCCAATAGCAGAGTTTGCTGTGTGAGAAAAAAAAGTAGCATGTGTGATTTCAGGAATGGGGGAAGCATGTCTTAGATTTTGCAGGGTTGGGAGGTAAGGGGAACTTTTCAACCCCAGAGTAGACTATTTATTTTGCATCTAATAAAGGGTAAAGGAGGCCCTTTTCTGAAACTGCTGCCTGAGGCCTAGAATTTAAATATATCACAGATGGAAGTTCTATATTAAAAATCCTTTTCTGAAATGTAGGGAATATTATTCTTGATTGAATTTTTTCACTTAAGGAATGTTTCTTGAACCAGTTTCAGAAAATAAACTCTTAAATTCTTTCCTTAGAACCATGAAATTACTCTAGAGAAGCAGACCACCCGATATATCGAACGTTGGTGTCGTGACCAAATTCTTCAAACCAAAAATCAGGACATATGCCTTAACATATATTCTAGAACAAAGGCACAAACCCTGTGAAGCCGAAATGAACTTATAAAATGCTTCATATACTAACCATATATACTACATCTTGTGTGTTTGCACGCGTGAGAAAAAAAATACTTCATATGTTGAACAGCTATTGGTTGAGGGGTGTGAAGCAGAGAGAAGGCTGGGTTAGTGAGAGCTATAGATGATCTCAAACCACCAGTTCACTATTGATTTCACCCACCACATTCAACCCTTTTTAGAGCTGCTCCCAAACAGCTTAATTAACCGATCTGAATTTCAGCCTCTCTCCTTTTCTCTCTAGCCCTTGAATAATAAGCAGTGAAATGGCCAAAGGCAAACTACAGGAAGAGAAGGAAAGAAAGCCCATGAGCTATGTGCAAAACTAAGACCTTGCCCCCAAAGAAATTAATTTTAGATTCCTCTTTCTGAAAAATCCATTTTAAATTCCCTCTCTCAAGATAATTTCTAGATGATATTTCTGTTGTACGTATGTTTTCAGAGATAGTGGCTCAACGGTCTATAAATGTATATTAATGGCCTACCTGTGCTAACCACTCTGCAAGGTGCTGGGGATAAACAGGTGACCAAAACTAGGCCCTGGCTACAAGGAATTCAGGGGCATGATATTACAATAATGTTATATGGAAAACGTTATAGCAGAGGTATGTAATGCAAATGCCCTTGGGCACCAGTGGCGATAAGGAAAGGCTTTCCAGCAGAAGTGATGGCTGAGCTGATTCTTAAGGACAAACACCCAGGGTACATGATGCCATCTTCCCAGAAGGTGTCTTGGAACATGAACCAATCAGAGAAGTCCTGAGTAAAGGTCCAAGTATTTCCAGAGCAAGGCTGGCCTAGAAAGTGTCCTGACAGAGGTTCACTAACAGAAACGAGGATGACTGGAGGCTCTTACAATACACTCTCTTTCTCCCCCGGAGATCATTTTTAAAACCTTGTCTCAATTTTTCTCAAGATGTGGTTCGGGATAGTAAAGACTTTGAAAATACTCATTTGTAAAAATAATGACTTTAAAGGCTGCTGCCAAAGTTTTCTACAAAGAATCCTTTGGAGCCACTATCCGAAACAGAGGCAAAATACATTATTAGAATCTAGATAACATGATTTTATTCTTCACATAAATGTGTACTATTTACAGAAACTTTCTCCATCTGTTCACTGACTATACTAGCAGACGCTTCTTTGCCATTCCTTCCACCTTCCACCATTCACGCACTGGTTAATGATTCATGATGAATGCCTTCTTTCTGGCATCACTTAATCTCATCATCCTCTACCACTCTCCCACCTTCTCATCCCACCCTCCTCCACCCTGCCACATGTAAATACCAAATCCATGCTTCAGGTTCAGGTCTATAACTTCCCTGATATCCCACACTCAGCTATGAGCTCAGTCTTTATTTTTCTTTGTATTTATTTGTTTATACCCATACTTGTCCCCCACAAAATGATTCCAGATTATTACTTTCCCAAATATTTTGAAGTTGAAGTCATTTTACATAGAAAATATTTTAAGCAAATTACTGTACTCACTCTCCAGAGAGTTTTTGAAGCGTCTCATCACCCCCTCCCCCATCCCCATGGATGTCATTCAGAACTTCTCACTGTACTCCATCCTGGAAAGTCCATGCTGCATGAACTTCGATTTAGAAACCTTAGCTCCCGCCGGGCATGGTGGCTCATGCCTGTAATCCCAGCACTTCGGGAGTCCTAGGTAAGTGGATCACCTGAGGTCAGGAGTTCAATACCAGCCCAGCCAATATGTTGAAACGCTGTCTCTACTAAAAATACAAAATTATCCAGGCCTGGTGGTGCATGCCTGTAATCCCAGCTACTTGGGAGGCTGAGGCAGGAGAATTGCTTGAATCCAGGAGGCAGAGCTTGCATTAAGCTGAAATGGCCCCATTGTACGCTAGCCTTGGCAACAAGAGAGAAATTATGTCTCAAAAAAAAAAAAAAAAAAACAAACCTTAGCTCCTTTTACCTAACACTAAACTTGTCTTGCATTGACAGACCCCTCATGTCCTGGAAAAATTCAAGGATTACATTTTCCAAGAGACTGGTGTCATAATCCAGTTCTGCCCCCACCACTGGGAATCATTAGCCATGTCACTTCAAGTTTTGGGGGCTTCAATTCTCTCACTACTTAGATAAAGTAAAGAGTAATTGATTCCCCCCCCCCTTTTTTTTCTTTCTTTTTAGTTGGCCCTGCTTCCTGGAGTTTTTATTTTTGTTTTGTTTTGGAGACAGGGGCTGGCTCTGTCACCTGGGTTGGAGTGCAGAGGCAAAATCAATCACAGCTTACTGCAGCCTCGAACTTCTAGGCTCAAATGCTTCTCCCACCTCAGCCTCCCAAGTTACGACTACATGTGTGTGTCACCACACCTAGCTGATGTTTTTTATTTTTTATAGAGATGGAGATCTCATTATGTTGCCCAGGTGGTCCCAAACTCCTGGGCTGAAGTGTTCTTCCTGCCTCGGCCTCCCAAAGTGCTGGAATTACAGGAATGAGCCACTGCGCGCAGTCTGATTTCTGAAGTCTCTTTGAAAGCCATGTATATCCTCACTCCTTCTGACGTAACAGCATATCATCACATTTCAGTACAAATAATATGGAACTGAGAAAGGGATTTTCAAGTAAAGAGTAAAGGCTCATCCATCTGTCAGGTATCATAATGTTATCAATGAACAGCTCATTCAGCTTGGCTTAAGCCTGGTACTAATGAGATGAAGGTCATGGGTTTCATTCCCTAATGGCTAGTTAGTTTTCATCTGTTTCATAGTCACAGACTGCTTTCCTAACCCCGGTCCCCCATGTTGCAATGTGTGCTATTGGTCACAAGTCTTAAGGTAAAATGGAATCTTTCTATAGAAATTTTCTGAAAGAACAGTTCTTGAAATCATCCTTTTAATGTGTGATCTTACTGTTAAGTATAGTCAAGTTATTGATATTTTGTAGCCTATGTAATTGTGTGTTCTGTGTTTTTCCAGCTATAAAATTGATGTTAACATTGATTTGGCCAAAATCCTTATCGTTGATATTTGTAAGAGCTGAGTCTGGTCTTCCTGTTAATGTTCTAGATAACACTGAAATGTTCATATAGGTCTTTTCATTTGAATACCAATTTCTTGCTTGTGATACATCTGTATCCAACACTCAGCACAGAGCTTGTAATAGTGAAATGTAATTGAAATGCTGAGGGGAAAAAAGGGGCACAGTACTCATCAGGTGAGGAAAGGATTATAATATGTATCACATTCTAAACATCATAAGGAAACTATATAAAGATGTGATGTGAATATATAATCATTTCATTTAGATATGAAGAAGGTAAGATATATTGCAGACATACTCAAAAGAATAAAATAATACGGGATTGTCAACTGACTTCTAAATTAAAAAGAAAAAGAAAGTTTATAATTCTTTATGACATACTCATTGAAAACCTAAATTCAGAAGCCATATCACAAACAATATTGGAGGGAACAAGCTAGCCTTCAGAACGTGTCTGTGACAATAGCCCCCAATATACTTAGAGCCTGGTTCTAGAATGTTCTTTCCATTTGACTTGGTCTCCTGGCCACAGCTGATTGGTCCAGAATTGGGCATGTAGTCTAAGGACTGAGTAGAGTAGCAGGGA